TCGTACTTAAGAAAGTCATTTATGGATAGTTAGATTTAATTTAGATAGAAATTTAACTGAGAATAAAATATATTCTCATACTAATAGATAAATTAGTTCATTCAACCACTAAAATTATAACACATTTTATATTTAATTATTTTCTACAAAAATATTTCTAAAAAAACTATTACACATGTCATAATTTTAGTGTCTGGAAGATACTTATTCACTAGAATGATAAGATATATTCTCAAATACCTATAACCAATTCATCATCTTCATTGTTCAATCATAATTTTATAAAATTAAAAATTTTAAAAATGAGTGATTAGGAGATAGTGTAAGTAAGAACTTTGGAGTCTCACTTGTGATATCTGATATCCGTAATTTAGCATTTGAAAGTAACATTTTATTTAGCTATGTGGGTAAGAGTATAATTTATCTTTTGTTCTAAGTTGCTGTTTTTTTTGTTTTGTTTAGATCACATTAAATGATGGTGAAGGGTGTTGTAGTTCATGGCAACAATGACGGTAATTCTGGAACCATTTACTTTATTTAGGAAGGAAATGGTAAGTTTTTACTTTCTAGATATTATACATGTTCTTTTTTATACTGATATAATACCATATGTTGTAAATTGGCCAAGTCCAAGAATAAAGTTTGATTTATTATTTTGCTGCACTGATAAAATAGCATTTGCCACGAGATCAAGATTATCATTTATTTGACAAGCAATGGAGGCAAAATATTAAGTCTGTTGCAGTCACAAACTAGAGGCAATGATAGTATATAGTAATATGGGATTCACTTAAACTAACATATTATTTGATTCGAATGCATAATAACTTACTAGTATATATATATATATATATATATATATATATATATATATATATATATATATATATATATATATATATATATATATATATATATATATATATATATATATATATATATATATATAATGAAAATTAGAAAATTAATAGTACTTTCGATCAAATATGTGTTATTGATATGTACATAATTGATAAATATCAATGTTACAAAAATCGTACCGGCCGGTTCAACCGGTGAACCGGACTCCTAGCCGGTACGGTACATATGTTATATTGCATATGCAATAGAATCGGTTGAAAACCAGTGAACCGGTTAAAACTGACTGATTTGTACATTATATTTTTTTATAATTTCATCCTCTAAACGACGTCGTTTAGGGGAAAGGGTATCCTTCAACCCTGAAAATTGAAAATACACGGCCTCACATTTCAAATTTTCAATTCTTCACCAATTCTTCAAGGGTTGATACTTGTGTCATTTATTTGTATTTTGCGTTTGTTAAGTGATAATTTTGGATATGTTTTGCACTGTAGACTTTGATTTTGTTAAATAGTTAATATTGTTTGTTTGTGTGAATTTGAAGTAGATTATGAATATGAATTATAAATCTGAATACTTACTTATTTGAAATTTTTTGTTATAGGTTTATATATATAAGCAGGTATGTCTGGTTTAACCGGCATGCGGTTTAATTACTGAATCACCGATTGAATCATTGTACCGCTATATTAGTACTCTGATCGGTTTGATAACCGACGCGGTTGTAATAACATTGATAAATACATACAAATATGATAAGTGAGTGATCATGAGATCAGAATGGACGGGTCGAGTCATGTTTGTCCTTTACTCGACCATAAATATTGATTGTGTCTAATTTTTGAACTCGGACCTATATTTGATGAAAACCGACTATATTCAGGCCCAATCATGATTATGCCATATCGGATGAGCGTGTAGAGTTGGGTCCTGCTCACCCCTATACGAGACTTTGCAGTATTGGAATTGATTGGCTGAATGAGGTCATATATAAGCACAATTACATTTCAAAAATGTTTGATTCCCAAAACTTGCATTAAGAAAACTAGAGGTGAAGGTAGTGTGTGTTTAATTAATTAGTTGTAACATGGAAAATAATATATCTTAAGCTCATTATTAATTTCTCTTGTGATGGTAGACAATAATATTTTAGTTACAACTAGCAAGTGACTCGTGCATTTGCACGAGACAATATTTTTTGCCGTATCATTCAGAACATACATTACATATGCATTCATATGGTTAGAAACACACGATATTTGTGCACTTGCATAGTTAAAACACACATATTACGTGTGCATTAAGAAGACACATGTGACCAGTGCATTCGCATGGTTAAAAACACATATGTTATTCATACATTTCGGATTGCTAACAAAATACATGTTACTCATGCACTTTTATACTTTCTTGATTGATTTTCATACTCTATAGTCTATATATTTGGCTAACTAATAAATATAATAAAAACTTATACTGTTGATTTTTAATATGGACGTACATATGGATAATTTGTTTAATTTTATGATTTATTGTAATAATTTCTTTTATAATTTATTTTACTTCTAAGATATTATTTCTTAGTAGTTGTTAGTATAATTGATTTATTATTTCATGTTTTTAATAAGTAATTTAATGATTAGTACTTTACGGGTTTAATGATTTAGTATGACAATTTCAAAAATAATATTTTAATAGATATAAATGAAATTTAGTAATAAATGGTCATTGAAATAAGAAAGTTGTAATTATATAGTTCGGTTTTTTTTAAATAGTGGAGGCCTATATTATTTAGGATTAAAAATGTTAAAAAATATATTTTTAAAATAGTAATAGAAATGAGAACATTTATAATTAAATTTCTAGATTTTTTTAAAATAAAGCATACATACTAATTTGCATGTAGTGATTACTATACATTATTTTTCAACTTGAATAATATTATCGATATCACTCATAAGCACCACATTAAATGACAATATGTTTTTCGATTCCCTCATGTTCACCAAATTTACTTCTTTCCTAATGTTCGACGATATTTATTCAAATTAATTATTAATTATTAATTATTAGTTTGCAACTGATCGACGATATTTATACAACATTGTCGATATTTATTCACTTATTCGATTACAAATTACAATAGTATAACAAAATTTATTGTCATTATTCACTATGCCGTTTCTATTCCCTTATGAATTTTCCTTTATTGTTAGTTTTCTACTATGTATTTTTATATGAATTTTTATCTTTCATTGTTCACATTAATTACTCTTACATATCGAGAGTAATTCTCTCCAAAACAGTTATTATTCCATAATTATCCAGAATTCATATAAACGATCATTTTAACACTTGAAAAGTTTGTCTAGATGTAAAAAGAAAAGAAAAGAAAATGTTAGAATTTATGACATTTTATTATCTTTAATTAACTAATACGATACATTTGAGAGATAATTAAAAAATTATGGTGTCATTTTTTAATAAATATATAACATATGTAATGATTAATAAATTCAATAAAAGTATAAGATAAAAAAATTGTATTTATAATATATTTTAATTTGATAACAATAAAATTTTGTTTTTACCATAACATTGACTCAAAGATAAAACAATATATTATGTTAACTTCCATGAAAAATTGCACATCTTTTTTCAGAACAATGAAAAAATATTATATTATTCACATTTGAATTATTTAAAGACACATAATCAAATATCAAATATGAAGATGAAACTTAAATGAAATGAACATGTATAGATTGAAATGTTGGAGGAGAAATGAATAAATATTTTTGGAGGGAAAAGAGAGATTGTGGTGAACACATGTCATAGTTAATATGATAAGGACTTATATATAGATTGATCCCTCCTAACATGCTCAACAAGAATAACTAGCATGGAATTATTTGAAGATTTATAGTTGACGTGAAACATATAAACATGAAGAAAAAAAATCATGGGTAATGCCTCTTCTCACACCGTGAAAGCCTTTTTTGGCTTTAACTACTTTATCACCGTGACAAAAATATTGCTAAAAAAACCCACGACGAGGAAAATTCTACACGATAAGGTCGACAAACGATTTATATTAAACTGGTGGTTATATTTTTGAAAAATTAACAAAGCTAACTAAACTATTCACTTTTATTAATCTTTTAATTTGATCGATAACGTCTTACATAACATCACCAACAATAATTTGATAATTTGACACAAGCAGTTGGGAAGTTAAATTTCTCTTCAATATAAAAATATGAGGAGAAAATATATTTTTAAATTTTTTCTATTGAAAAATAACTTAAATTAATAATTATTAAAGATAGTATTATTGACTTGGTTGAGGTTAGGGGAGTTGGATCACAAGGTAAGCATCCAAACCAATTTAAAATAGTATTATTGACTTGGTTCACGTTAGATGCCTCAATTATTTTAATATCTTACCTCAGTCCAACATATTTAAATTTTATTTTGAAATTTTTTCAAGTTTACAAATCGGATTAGATTTACTTACCTCTCTACCTATGCTCAAACAAAACTATTCTTCAATTGATGATACATGTAGTTTACACCCAAAAAAACAATAATAATAGTCTTATCACAATTAAAATTAAGAAATTAAAACCAATAATTAATAAATCTTTTAGTAAACAAAATCACTGTTTTTCAACAAAATCCCTTAAAATATTAAAATTTCAAACCAAACTTCACTGATTATTTAATTTTTTTAGGTTTGGGCCAATCACCCCAAACCCGGGTAACACTAAAAAGCCCACAAAATGCACGCGAGAGCCGCCAGAAAACCCTAAACACCCATCTCACCCTTCTATAAATACTGTCTCATATAACACACATAAACATCATTAAAAAAATAAAGCTGCCACTAGGTTTGTCTCTATTCTTCTTTGTTCTTAGCATATAGGAAAAAAAATAAAAAGCTAGTTTCTTTGGTATATAACTTTTCTTTTTTATTGATGAAAGTTATTATGATATAAAGCCGTGCACAATAAGCCGATGCCCTGGATAATATGATGAAGGAGGCATGGTTGGGTGCACGGAAATTGATCTTATTGGGTCAACATGTCTGCTCTCTCTGATCACTCATGATTTGAGGGCCTGGTTACTACCCACATTTTCTTCTTTGGATGGAGAATCCTTGTTCATATTTGTGTCTGTACTATCCTTTCGTGGTATTGAATGGTTAATTTGTGAAATGAATTTGTATTGCTCTATAATATTCATTTAGTTGTTGAATGATATTTTACGATTTTTCCCTTTTTTCTTTATTCATATTTGTTAATGATTGAAAATACTTTGTCAAATTAGCAATTTTCTGATTGCATTTGTCTGTTGTTTCTCAAAACAATTTACATTTTTTTTCTGTTCATATTTTATTTCTCTTCTTATAGGAGTATTCGTATTTGTTCTGGTTATAATTTTTGTAACTCTACCTATTTTAAATTATTCTGTAAATCTAAGGAGATTAAACATTGTTTTATATTACATAATAAATTACATTGTCAGTGAAACTATACATATCACTAATTCTTGTAAATCTGTAAGAATTATCCTTAACTTATATACATATATGATATTTGTTACCAAGTTGTTGTTTATTTAATTTTTTTAACCATTGGTTGAATGTTGTTAAGGCGATGCACTATTATATGGTGTTGAAAGACTCAGATCTGAAAAGTTTTGAGTCATAGCCATTAACAAGATCAAATGTGAATGATCTCTAGGTATTTGCCACATGAAAGACATTGCATACCGATTGGGACCATAATTTCCTAATAAATTCTATGGATTTACTGTGAACACTTTTGTCAATACATTACCTGATAACCCACCAATGAAAATATGAGAACAATATTCTATTTAAACATTTGAATCATAGACTTCTATGCTTACCAGAAACTACTATGCAAGTTAAATGCATGGGTTAACTGGTTGTAAATTACATTGACCTAACCGAGTACGCCAATAGCAGATTCAAGAAGAAACAAAATCACCCTTTATTTTTGCATTTTAAATAGCGAAGATACCAGACTTTTAACATTGCGATACAACATTGTTACACTTGATTTAGAGCTCCTTTAGTAACCCTTAACAATTGAAATTAAACTAATTGAATTATGGAGGATGCTTAGTGTTTGATTTAATAATAGAGCTTTATGAGGCTTAGTAAAAAGTATAAACCTTATTGACATTAGGAATTTAAATCAGATTGTGAGAGAGTCAACGACACATTGAATAATATCATGGAAAGTCGTCGTTATTATGCTCAAAACTTTTATCTCAAATTATAGTAAATTTCTAATTCTAAATAGTCTAAACTATATATAATAACCACAATAATAATTCACTTATATCTTATTTATTTGTGAAAATGAAGTTAATAAGTCACTTATATAAATGAAAAACACTATTAACTAGACTCAGTATAGTTCATAGTTTTGTATGTTATATAAGGATTCAACTTAGGTGCAGTATTTTAGGTATTGGTACTGACACCTAATTGTAACGTAACAAAGTGTATAAAAAGTTACAGCTATATCCATCCAATACCTAATTGTAACATAACAAATTGTATAAAAAGTTACAGCTATATCCATCCAATTAGATCTCTTTATTTCTCACTGTTGAAGAAATGAGAAAGATTAAAGAACTATATTGTTTGAGTTTTGTTGAATGGAGAAAAATGAATAAGAGGACTTTAATAGTGAGAAAAAAAGAAGAGATGTAGTTGGATGGAGACTTAACAGTGTTTAGTATGTCAGTGATGAGTTTTAACTTTTTATACGTATGTTATGTTATGATTGGGTGTCACTAATGGTACTGCACCTAAGTGCATACTCATTAATTTCATGTATTCTTTTTATTTAATTTGCTGGTGTTTGCGTGTTCACATTGCTTCCAAATTTTTTTATCTCTTTAAAGAGTATAATGTAATAATATAGATAAAATGTGATGGGAATGATGATGCTCATTTCGTAATTGTTTATTACAATTTGGATTTTATATTTAAAGTTAGAGGAAAATAAGATTTTAGTGTGTATTTTATAATTTTAAAGCCTTTATTTTCCATTTTAAAACTAACCAACCTAGATATGGATAAGTCTATTATTGGTAGGGTTGAGCATGAGTTGATGGGTTAAGGCTTGTTCATTGACCTTAGATCCGAAGCTAACCTGACCTTATATATCCATTGGTTCAGTAAACCTGAAGCTGATTAAATATAATGCATACTCATTTTAGATAAAGTTTTCTTAATATTACTTACTATAATGAATATGTAATTTGATATATAAAATGATATATGTATCTATATTATTAATAATGTATATATGATTAAAAATAAGAAAATCAGTGATACATTCGACCAAAAATGTGTTATTTGTGTACACATTTGAATAAAGATATAAAAATATGATGAGTGAGTGACCACGAGACGGGTCGGGTCATGCTTGGTCCATACTCGACCCTAAATATTGACTGTGTCTAATTTTTGAACCCAAACCTGACCCTAAAGTCGATGAGACGTGATCCTATTCATATTCAATCATGATCAGACTATAATAGGTGAGTGGGTAGGACTAGCTCCTCCTAACCCCTAGTTATAACTAGCATACTTAATTTGCTAGAAGCTTTGTAGAGTTGTGAGATAATGCAACTCATGTAGTGGTAATGGTTGAATCATCTCATTTGATGTCCGATATCTTATAAAACGGGAGGGATCCACTTACTCAAAGAGTAAGTGGAAAAAACCTACTTCACATCTTAGTCATCCAATTTTGGAAAATCCAATGGTTTAGATGTATTCACCAATTCAAACCATTGGATTTCCCAAGAATAAATGATCTTGATATGGAGTAAGTTTTTTCCACTTACTCTAAAAAGTAACATTTCATTGAAAAAGAAAGTTATTAAAATATAATATAATATTTTTATATTACTTGTTAGTTTTTTTGGAACATGTGATCATTATTTTCGCTAGTTTCCAAAGATACTTGAACGTCATTAAATGTATAATGAAGTTGGTGTTGTAGGCTTTGGTGTTTAGTTTGTCACCATGTTTTGCGCTACTTTTCTTCAACATGGTTGTGCGTCATTTATTAACGAAAATGATATATCATCTTATAAATTTTTTTACATAGAAGAAAACAAGAAAGTGTATATATTATAATGTGATACTTTTATCTTTTTAATGATTGTTTTATAAATAACATATGTTATTTTTGTGTGAACAAAATAATTAGTAGCAAGATTTAGTAGAAAAATATTTCTCAAATATTAGTTTCATATTGGTGCTATGCTGGGTTACTTGTCAAAGATTGAAGAGGCAAAGACAAAAAAAAAACAATATTAAATTTAAAGATAATAAATATTTTTTCTGACAAAAAAAAACCGAAAACAAGACATGACAATTTAAGTTAATGATATGTTTATGATATTAATTACATTAATCATAAAAAGATTTAACGTGTTTGTAAGATTTGTCTCGTATTAATTAGATTGTTGATCTTGCTTGCATGCACATATGCGATTAGCATTAGAATACGAAAATGTCACCTTTATAACTATTGAACCATGAGTTCTTTTCATTTCTCTACGTGCTTCTATAAAAAATAAAGGATTCTAGCATCCTCTTTTGTAGTGCAGGAATGCCTAATTATGAAGCCATTAACAGTGTGCATGATGATGATGATGTAATTACTACAAGACAAGCTGCTGAAGATGTTGGACAGAATGTTGTTCTTGGAAGCCTCTCACCAAAGCCAACTCATGCCTGCACCATGGCTAAGTCAATGCCAATAAAGCCTTGGTCAGTGACTGGCCACGATCACATTATGACCGAGCTAGTTCAGTCACTGCCATGCCATGACTATATCGTGACCGAGCCAACATGCAACTGGGCCAAGCCACAGCCTACTCGTGACCGAGACAGATTGTCATGGTCTTGGACAGACACAACCCAAGTGCAGAAATGCAGTTACTTCTCATACAAGCTATCCACATAGTCTTATTCTTTTTCTCTTGTTTTACACATGTGTTTTATTCTTTTAAGCATGTGTTTATTTGTTAGTTAGTTTGTTAAGTTTGTTCTCTTTGATTAGTTAGCTTTTCTTTTATGTTCTATAAATAAAGGTGATTAACATTGGTTTAATAATCTTGTATCATTCACAAAAGTGCAATCAATATATTGAAGTTTATTTTCTCTTCTTTATGTTTTGTTCATCCTTTCAAGGGGTGAAGTTTTTATTTCCATTCAGCACCATTTTTGTAATGGTATCAGAGCTCTTTTAAGAGCTCTGCTACATTCATCATGTCCCACGAAATTCCTACCAATCCCATCATGACACAATCATCCATAAATCCTTCTCAAGACCCAAGCTCTCCCTACTACATACATCCTTCAGAAAATGCATCTCATGCCCTGGTTTCACCATCTCCAAATGGTGAAAATTATCACCAGTGGAACAGAGCTATGGGAATGAGTCTCATAACCAAAGAGAAGCTCATGTTTGTGGATGGCACAATTAAGATGCCTACAAGAACAGACCCTTATTACAGAGCATGGGAGAGGGCTAACAACATGGTGATTTCTTGGATAACAAGATCTGTAACACCATCTATTGCCCAAAGCATAATTTGGATGGACAAGACATATGAGATATGGGATGAGCTGAATGAAAGATTCTCACAAGGGAAATTGTACAAGATAGCAGAACTTCAAGCATCTTTATCCAATTTCAAACAAGGTGATCTAAATGTAAGCAACTATTTTACAGAATTAAAAGTTTTGTGGGATGAACTTGACACTTTTAGGCCAATGCCAAAGTGTAAGTGTGAGATACCTTGTTGTAGTGAAGTTTCCCTTGTTGTCAAGAAGCATAGAGTAGAAGATAGGGTGATTATCTTCTTGAAGGGTCTAAATGACTCCTATGCAGGGGTCAGATCTCAGATAATGATCATTGACCCACTGCCATCAATGAGTAAGGTCTTCTCTCTCATAATTCAGCAAGAAAGGCAGCTCTATGGCCAAGAGTTAGACGCCAAGGCCTTATCAATTTCAAGTAGCTGGAGAAAGAATAGTTTTTCTGGAAGAAACAACTCAAACAGATCCTCTGTCTCAAGCAATTCAGACATAAGTAGTGCAAATACTTCAAGAATAAGATCATGGAGCAAGATTCCTAGTAGCAGTAAGTACTGCACCCACTACAAAAGAAGTGGACACAACATTGAGACATGCTATAAGTTGCATGGTTATCCAGCTAATTTTGGCAAGAATGATCAAGCTAACTCAACAAGAAGTTCAAGATCAGAAGGACAAGTCAATGCACTAAGTCACCAAGCTGATCAAAATGACACAATTTATGGGCTAAACAAGACTCAATACCAAGGATTGGTAAGCATGCTACAAAAGTCAAATGAAGGTAGCTCAAATGAAAGTGAGCCAGCCAACAATGCAGGACAAGTGCTAACAGTGGCCTCTTGTAACCAAGGTAAGCATGTCACAAGTAATTCTAAGTCTGGCTCTTTATGTTTTGATTGGATTTTGGATAGTGGAGCCACTAATCATATAAGTTCCAATTTATCATATTTTTCAACATATAAGCAAATAAATCCCATTAGAATTAGACTGCCTAATGGAGATGAAGTCACATCTAAAGTTTTTGGTTCTGTTAATCTCTTACCAAATCTTACCATATGTGATGTTCTTTATTTACCATGTTTTGCATATAATTTGATATCCATATCTGAATTAACATTGAAATATGGCTATGTTTTATCTTTTGATGATGAATGGTGTAAAATTCAGGAAAGAAAGTCCTTGAAGATGATTGGTTCAGCTAAATCTATCAATGGACTATATGTGCTAAAAGCCTATCAATCTCTGCACTTTGTTAACCTTCTTGATTCTGTTTCTGATTCCAACCTTTGGCATTTTAGATTAGGTCATGCTTCACACAATGAAATAAAGAATAGTTTTCCTTTTGTCAATTTTGATAAATAATACATATGTGACATTTGCCATCAATCTAAGCAAAGAAAGTTACATTTTCCTTTAAGTAATTCTCACACTATTCATAAGTTTGATTTAATACATGTTGATATATGGGGCACTTATTCTATCACATCTATTGAATGGTTTAAATACTTTCTCACTATAGTTGACGATCACACAAAATACACTTGGGTCTACCTTATGAAATCCAAGGCAGAAACTGCTAAGCTTCTGCAGAACTACATTGCTATGATTGAAACACAATATAACTTGATAGCTAAGGTGGTAAAAAGTGATAATGGACCTGAGTTCATTATGGCAAATTTCTTTTCTAATAAAGGAATCTTGCACCAAACCACTTGTACCTACACTCCTCAACAAAATGGAGTGGTTGAAAGGAAACACCAATATCTTTTGAATGTAGCTAGAGCTCTTCTAATTCAGAGCAAATTGCCAAACTTATATTGGCCCTTTGCTATTAAATATGTTGATCACATTATTAATTGCTTGCCAACTTCTGTGTTAAACAATGAAATTCCTTATAAATTGTTGACTGGAAATCAACCCAAGATGCATATGTTAAAAGTTTTTGGCTGCTTGTGTTATGTTTGCACACATAGTCATTTTAGGAGCAAGTTTGATCCTAGATCCACCAAGAACATCTTCCTGGGATACAAAGATGGAGTAAAAGGGTATGTTGTTCGGAATTTAATCACTAA